TCGGTTACACTGTTGTAGCTTTACATGGATGTTTGCAATCTGAAATTCAGGTATCAATGATCTTCCAAACTTAATATTAAACATTATGATCAATATACCTTGGAAATTTTACAATAATAACGTTAGGGTGCATGCTTTCTAGTTAGTATGGACTGACTTAGAAAAATGCTTCATAGCGAGTTAATTTGATCTCCTTTTCTCCGCCATCTTAATTAATAAAATCCACAATTTAATTAATATTCGTTTAAATGTCTTGTATTTTGCTAGACACCACAGCATTGTCGTGTACTCTTCAAAGATCCATGCATTCGTGTCACCACTGAATTATCAAGAGCATTAATGGAGCTTGCCAATAGTATAAGGAATCGACGCCATTGCTCCCCTGAGATACTCTCCGATAATCTCCACGAAGCCTTGCAAGACCTCAACAACGCCCTAAAGTCTCAACCAAGACTTTTCCTGGGCTCCAACAATAACCAAGCCACCAACATGCTAGCAGTAGCAGCTGCACATGCTAATTCTAGCCAAAAGCGTGAAAAATATAATGGAGTCTCGTTATCAAGTTTCAAGACCGACAATTCTGCATTACTCGAATGGAAATCTAAAAGGATGAATAATGAACATTCAAGATCGGAAGCAGCAGAGAGGAAGGTGTTGAGGCCACAGCTGAGTAAAATAGCTATCACAAGCCTTGAGTTCTCGGAGGCACTTCCATTCGCGGCATTCGCTTCCTTGCTAGTAGAGACGGTGGCAAGGTTGGATAATATTATCGAGGAGGTTGAAGAATTGGGAAGGATAGCATGCTTTAAAGAGTTTAAACCCGGAGATGAGGTTATTGTAAATTTTAAAACCCAAAAGGTTAATGTTACGCTCAATCATTTTTCTTCTCAAGGGGCAGAATGATGGAGACCGAAGGATATTGGGCTATACTTCATTGTTATCGTTACTTAGCTAGCTTATTACCGTTATTCTTTTGGAACTGAATGAGTTTATATTCCTGATCATATAATGCAACTTTGAACTATTGATTTCTTGTCCTTTTATGTATTCATGTTTGTGTTCAAATTATGTTAAGTACTCTACCACCTTGTTGATACATGCTTCGAGTATTTCAGCTAATTTGAGAGCTTCTATTTTTTTACTTTTTTCTTTCTGCCAAAAGAGTAAATGAGTAGCGTTTGCGAACCAAAAAATTATACTGAAAAACAAAAATGACATAATTCCACCTAGATCGATGGCAAGTGATAACATTTCCTTGGCTATGTTGCTGGCTTAATATCATTATTTTTTAAATCTTTTATAAACATATTAGAGAGATATTTTGTGTATTTTCTTGAATATATTGTTATATAATTTATATATATATATATATATATATTTCTAACCATATGTTATATAATTTATATATATATATATATTTCTAACCACATGATAAAATGTTGAGTCATTAATTTTCCTTTTCATTTTTGGTTATGTGTTTAAATTTGCTACCCCAGAAAGTAATTCAGATTATCATCACAAGCATTAATCAGTACTTGAAAAGGTTTCCACTCGTGACATTTACTTCTTTATCGGTGCAAGGTGGCTAGGCAAGCCTAGATCATAATTCATGGCATTGAAGAAGTTGTAGAATTATGGAGGAGGATATGAACACGGTTAATTCAAAGTTTAATCTCTATCAAAGAACTACTTTAAGTAAAAAATCTAAGCTATGAAATAAAATTACAAGAATAGTTTTATATTAAATAAATAGTTTAATTTCTATCAAAGAACTAGCTAGTTTTATATTTAATAAGATTTCAAGATTATAATAATAGTTTTAACACAACTATGTACGTACTCAAATGAATGTTCTATATTACACTATTATATCATATTGTGCCTAATTATTTAATTTTAAATAATGAAAAAAAAAGATGGTAAGATTTAAATTTATGCATTCATACTCGAACCAAAATATTCAGTTCATAGTTATAAGTAAAATATAAACACAATCATATATATGCACCCCCTGATATATATATATAATTGTAGTTCATTTAACTTAAAATAGTTGGGGCAAGAACGACTACATGTTGTGGTTCAACATAATCCTCTCTATGTACAGCCACACAAAAATCTGCGTACGTGTAATAAGGAATTGAGTGGTCGACCCAAGAGAATCTACGAACAAAAACCCACGTAAAGATGCAAACTTTGTACGTAGTCCAATTTGTCTCCACTAAAAAGGCTTTTTCTTGAGTCCCTCTAATGGCAGATCTAGTCTTTTAATTCAGAAATAGTTGAAAGTCATCGTCAAAATATACCCAGACAGATGATATGCATTAGTTTTTATCATTATAATTGAAATATAATGCTTCGGGTCAGATCAAATTCATTGTTTGGAAATAAAATGAATGCATGTTCTTCCTCTCCTGACGATTTGGATAGCTGGGTTAATCAAATTATTATTTTTTTTATATTTTTATATGATAAAAAAATAAAAAAATAATTTATTCTCACACTACTACTAAATTATAAAAAAAATTAAAAAAATCATACACATAAAGTGATAAAATTAAAAAAAATAAACCACAAATATTATAAAAAAAGCTTAGAAATCCCATTCCAACTCTTTGTTTGATATTTAATTAACTCATTAAACCCATAATTCAGGTTATAGATAATTGAAATATAATGCTTCGGGTCAGATTAAATTCTTTGTTTGGATATAAAATTAATGCATGTTCTTCCTCTCCTAACGATTTGAGTGGCTGGGTTAATCAAATTATTATTATTTTATATTTTTATATGATAAAAAATAAAATAATAATTTATTATCAATCTACCACTAAATTATAAAATTAAAAAAAAAACATACACATAAAATAATAAAATTAAAAAAAAAAATATTATAAAAAAAACTTAGAAATCCCATTCCGACTCTTTGTTTGATATTTAATTAACCCGTCAAATTTATAATCCTGATTATAAACTCCACTAGATCGATTTAATTTTTATGGTTGTAAACTCTATAGATCAATTTAATTTTTGTTATATAATAAAAAAAATATAAAAATTAACATATTATCAATCCAATACTAAATAATAAAAATAAAAAATACTAAATAAAAAATAAAAAAAATCCAACCAAAAAATAACCAACAAATAAAAGCCTAACTAAGCTGCGCTAAGCATGTCCAAAGAGCCAGCGCGTGGTCCAGGGGAGGCCAGTGTGCTTGGCTCTTTTATATATAAAGGGGTGGGTCTTATTTTTTTTTTTTTTTTTTAAAAAAAAGAAAACCCCACTGAACAACAACACAAGTTTGATATAAGATGCTTAAAATAATATGTTAATCTGATTCGTTGTTCATATGAACAATTAAATCGACTCATGCTTTTAGTTGTTTCAATAATAATTGTTAACCTTGATGCCATACATTTATATTTTATATATTTTAATGATAACAATAATATAAAAATTACTTTTAATAATATATTTGGTTAATAATAAATTTTAAACAATTTTTATACAAAGATCCTATCAATAAGTATAAATAATTTTATAAAGAAATCAATCAAAAAGTCTAAGAAGAAGCAAAATGAAGATTTAGTTTAAATATTTTAGTACTATGTTGTAAATTTTTATATCTTATCTTGATAGTACAAGTAAAAGGAACTCACACATTTTACTATGGATACATTTAAAATAATTGATAAATAAATTGATATAAATGGTTCTAAAAATTCACCTATATTAAACTTATAAAATTAAAATTATACATGAACCGGTCCACTATTTGGTGTGACCAAATAAAACAAACAATTATTTATTGATTAATGATAAAAATTTGAAAATTCTATAGGAATCGATCGACTGATTAGTTTGACCAATCTAAATCGATTAGCTGTTTCAATCATTAACAAGGCTATGACAACTATAAATAGCTAGTTCTTGTTAAGAACATATATATAGCTTGTCTAATTAAAAAATTAATAAGGTATTCCAAACATATATCATGTACAAGCTATTCTAAATGCAAAAACACTATAAAAATATCAATCATTGAATATACTTAAATTTGTGCAACCAAACCTTTATAACATAGTATAAAAGTATACATTCTCATTCTCATTCTCACTATATTTGAACACTTTTTAATCTTATAAGTGTTATCTCATGAATTAGATACTAAAAATTTCAATTGTAATATTTATTTTATTAAAAAAGTGAATTGTGATAACAAAATTATATTTGTAAACTTTTAAGAGTTAGGAAAAGACTCTTAATTTTGGTAAGGTATTTTTACAGAATTTTTTTTTAAAAAAATATATCTTTAGGTGAGAGAAAAATTTTAAAGAAAAAATATCTTTAAATAATATAAAAATTTTAGTGTGAATTCATTAAAGTACAAAAAAAATTATTAAAAAAATAAAACTCAATACAACGTCTCAAACCTAAAAGAAAGGCCACGTCATTATTTTTTCTTCAACATGCATGCCATTAATTTGTGTTTGTTTTAAAAGAAATATGGTGTTAAGGGAGTCGAACTCTCAACGTCTAATGCACAACATGCATGCGAATTTTAAACAATTTTTATACAAAGATTATATCAATAAGTATAAATAATTTTATAAAAAAATCAATCAAAAAGTCTAAAAAAAAAAAACTGAAGATTTAGTTTAAATATTTATTTTAGTGCTATGTTGTAAATTTTTATATCTTATCTTGATAGTACAAGTAAAAAGAACTCACACATCTCATTATGGATACATTTAAAATAATTGACAAATAAATTGATATAGATAGTTCTAAAAATTCACCTAGGTTAAACTTATAAAATTAAAATTATGCATGAACCGGTCCACTATTTGGTGTAACCAAATAAAACAGGCAATCATTTATTAATTAGTGATAAAAACCTGAAAATTATGTAGGAATCGGTCGACTGATTAGCTTGATCAGTCTAAATTGATTAACCGTTTCAATTATTAACAAGGCTGTAACAACTATAAATAGTTAGTTTTTGCTAAGAACATATATATAGCTTATCTAATTGAAAAATTAATAAAGTATTCTAAATATATATCATGTACAAGCTATTCTAAATGTAAAACACTACAAAAATATCAATCATTGAAAATACTCAAATTTGTGCAACCAAACCTTCATAACATAGCACAAGAGTATATATTTTCATTCTCACTATACTTGAACACTTTTTAATCCTATAAATGTTATTTCATGAGTTATTGAGATATTAAAAGTTTCAATTGTAATATTCATTTTATTAAAAGAGTGAATTGTGATAACAAAATTATATTTGTAAACTTTTAAGAGTTAGGAAAAGATTCTTGGTTTTGGTAAGGTATTTTTACAAAAAAAAAATTAAAAAGATATATTTTTAGGTAAGAGAAAAATCTTGAAGAGAAAATATTTTTAAATAATATAAAAATTTTAGTGTGGATTTATAAAGTACAAAAAAAAAATTAAAAAAATAAAACTGAATACAACATCTCAAACCTAAAAGAAAGGCCAATTCATTATTTTTTCTTCAACATGCATGTCATTAATTTGTGTTTGTTTTAAAAGAAATATGGTGTTAAGGGAGTCCAACTCTCAACGTCTAATGCACAACATGCATGCGCTTGTCACTTAAGCTACAATTCAAAACTTATAAGACAATGTATTAACCTTGTTTTTTGTTCATTAAGGAAAAAAATAGATATCCTTCTGTCTCTAGCCCGCAACCTCACATTACTTTCAGGAGCTAGCCATTCAGCTACTACATAAAGCTTGTGGTTAAACGTTTAAAAATATATATCAACTTATTTCATATAAACAGTGAAATCAACGGTCGCTTATTGTTTTAGTTGTTTTTATAATAAAGTATGTAATGACGGTAGTTATCCTCTCTATTATACGAGGATGGAAGGAATCTAGTGTCCAAGAGACCCTTGATGGAAAAGGATGAAGCCAAGCCTCTTTCAATATTGTTAAACATAGTGAGCAGTCAAATCACTAGATAGTCTTCAAATTAATCACAATAACATTCAGAACCAAGAAGATAAAATCAATTTCTCTTCATTCATCGATCCCAACCTCATTTGTTAATTTAAAAAAAAAAATCACATTTTGTCACTTTTTACATCTTAGAACTATGAATAAAATGTAAAAACCGGCAACTACACTGGTTATAATAGTTTTCATATGCAACATCAAGCCGAAATATATATAAAAAAGTAAAAGTAGAAGGAAAAAAATTCAAAATTAAAATGCATTAATTTTAATGTAAAAAATGCATTAATGTAAAAATTATGGTGAAAATTAAAGATTGATTTATAGTGGCTAATTAAAGATTGATAATGGTGAAAATTAATTTTTATTATGATCATAATAAATTATTTAACCTTTTAACTTCTAAAACTCACTATAAAAAAAAAAAAGTTGAAAGAAAAGTTCTTGTAGTATTTTTTAAAAAAACAATTTACATACTCTTCCTCACCTTACCTTATTTTTAGCATTTTTCTTCTCATTTTATGCCTTTTTTTCTATCAAATTTGATTATTGTTTTTTAATCACTATTGTTTTTTACTTTGTAAACAATTTTAAATTGATATATTTTCTTGTTTTATCCTTCAATATTATACTAGTTGGGAATTTAGCTTCTTGATTAAGTTCGGATCTAAAATTTCACAAGTTGCAATTTTAAAAGATTTATCTGGGTTTACATGGTTTTTTTTTCTTTTTTTAAGTTTTTTTTCAATTTCATCCATCATCATTTATTTAGTTGAAGATTGGTCTCTATTATTTTTTTTATTTTCAATTGAGTTTCTCATAAATTTTAAAAATAAACAGCATTATTTCATGTTTTAACATTAATTGATAATTAAGTTTTATAGTTTTATTCACTTTGCTTTAGACGAAGTTACCCCAATAACATAACTAGGTCACAAATTTTGCATGGTTACTTGGGTGGACTCGTGTTTTTTTAATCTATTTTGGATTATATTTTTTATTCATTTTTTTCCTTAAATATTTTGTTTAGAAATTGAGTTTTGGATTTGTCTTTTCATTGTATTTTCTATGAGGTTATCATGTTTATAATTAGTTTTTTATTCATTATTTAAGAAGATCCTTCAACATTTAATTTATTAAAAAAATTATTATTTTTTTAATTTTATTCCTCAATATTTAATTGATTGAGAATTTATCTTAATTTGTATTTTTCTTTTTCGCTTTTCTTTTTATGAAGTTATCTCAATCTTATACCCATGATCATAAAATTAATGAGTTAACCTAGTTTAACTTTATTATTTTATTCAATTTACTTCTAATAAGTTGATACCTTAGTGTCACGACTAAGTTGCATATTTGACATGCTAACATGGATGAGCTCGAGTCGAGTTTTTTGACTTGTTTTTCATTGTCAGTTTTTTTTTTCATTTTATTAACTATAGAAGCTTATCCATATACTAAAAATACATGTGTTAGTTATTGATTTTTAAAATTATTTTTAAAATATATTAAAATAATCTGGCAAAAAAATTTAATCTTACCCAATTTCTATTTGGAACGCAATACCCAGGGGGGAGGATGGCAAGGAGTCTATATTTGGTGATGAGAGGGTGTTTGGAAGTGTAGTGATGGTTGGGTTTAATGTGTTTTTTACTCAGAAATGTATTAAAATAATATTTTTTTATTTTAAAAAAATTATTTTTGACATTAGCATATCAAAATTATCTGAAAATATAAAAAAATTATTTTAAGTAATATATATTTTAAATTTTTAAAAAACACGATTTCAACCAAGTTTCTAAATATTTAATAGCCTTCGAAAAAGTCTAAGCTTTTTGCAGTCCTCGAGTCATAAGTCTATACTAAGGTACATGGATACTAAGGTATTAACCATTTTAAAGTATTTTCGTAAATAAAATGAAATTGTCCTAACACAACATCATTGACACATCAAGAATCATTTAGGTATCTTAAAAATCTAAATCCTTCCAAAACTTTTTATTAATATTATTATTAATATGGATGTCCGAGTTAGTTTGCGTGCATCTCAATTAATCACACGAGTCCTGAAATTAATAATCATGTAAGCTTCCAATAACTCTGAGATATGTGAGACTTGAACTGATAACTTGAATAAATCTAAAAACTAACGATATACTCTTTAAAGTTACCTCCAAAACTTTACTATGCTCCAAAGATGCATGTCTAGTTAACTTAAATGGTGCACTTCTTTTCTGCTGCAACTTGCTTCCTAAGTGGAAAATAACGTTATGGGAAATTTTATAAATAAACCACTAAATCTTGTGTTTGATTGGTGAGGAAAAGGGGCCGACCACACGTTCAAATAAAGGCCAAAGTGTAGGTGTTCTTGAGGAAGGAGTAGGGGGGGTGGCAGAATCTATTTTTAGAGAATATTGGTTGGTGTGGCATGTAAAGAGTTATGGATAATAGGCCTTTTAGGAAAGCATTCTTAAAGGTTGCATTAGTGTTACTCTCTTTGTCAAGATTCTTACCAAAGTGAAAGAAGTGTCTAAACCTGGTTAGATGGGTATATTAGATATCTGCTAAGTGGCTCTTGCTTTTGAGCCCTTTGTGCTCCCATTGGCAATCTTAAGTACAGTAATCATTAGTTAATGATAAATCTGCAATTTTGCTAGTAATTATTCCTTTCATTGTTCCTCCACACCAGTGATTGGTCGTTCCTGAAAGCAGCTGAAGCTCAATGTCGATGGAGGACTTCGTAGCAGGGAAATGGACGAATATTCATCGTCAACAAGTTTCAGCATTATATTCCTTTTCAAGGTATTGCTTGGACTGCAAAATTGTTTCATTAAGTCTAGTTGGGTACGGTTTAACCATAAATATTGAGATCGACCTGCATATGGCTTTAGTTCTTCCCTTGAGTTCGTCGCCGCAAACAGTACTGAGGTGCCTAGGGCTCTTTGAAGGTTGATGTTATAGGCGTCAGTTAACCCATAATTAACCATAACAAGAAAGAGCACGAGAAGGCTAAACTTGACCAAGAACTTTGCTTTGGTGGAATGGCCTTGGGCGGTTATTTTCTTATGACAATGGAAGATATAGCAAGTTGATTATCTAATAAGAATGACCTCTCCAGAGCTATTATCAACACAGGAAGCTAGAATTTGTTTGGATATGGAGTGACCTGCACACTGATTGATCCACTCCAACGTGATTTCCAAGGCCAACCAAAAGATAAAAGTGGGTTTCTCAAATCAACTTTTTTCGTTGGCTCGCTTATGACATGTGCATGCTTTAAATCTCAGAGAATATTGCATTCAAAAGCTCCAAGCAATCTGACAAAGTGTGGAGAGCGAAGATTAAAATTGTTGTATATGAAAGTTGAAGCAGAAGCAGTCTCAAGTCTCCACAGCACACCCCACCCTAACACAATCACGTCTACACAACTCGTATCATGCTGCAATTTTATTTATGTTTTCAAAAGAGGGATCAGATCAGAACGCAATGAATTCCATCAAACATGTGAAGAAATGGGCTTAATTGTTGTTGATGTGCTTGCGTGTGAGAAAGGAGCTATGGTGGTCATGTAATGGCAGAACATTGATTTTGAATACTTGCAGCATCTAATGAAGCTTCTTCCATGAAAGAAGCTTATTTTATTTCTTAAAGCCACAGAGACAGACAATTCAAGCTGAAACTAACCAACTAGTGGTGAAATCTATGAAAGTGATTACCACCAGGGGCTGGTACAGCCTTACTGAATAAACAAAAACTGAGATAACATTTAGCTACTAAAAAAAGAAAACATACCAAACACGTCTCATTTTAACATAATAGGAAAGGGATGTAGTCTTTATTTCCCTTCCAAGAACAAACATTAAAAGGCGTTGTCTTGGAGAACCCGTACTTGATTGTTCTGCTCAGGGTAGACCCCTAGATCACAATCACCATATTGTCTTCTTGCGACCAAAGACCGCCATATTCCCCCAAACTAACATCTCCACTTGCTTGCTTGCAGATTGGAGCTTGGTTCCTAGGCTCAAATCCTGCAATGCAAAAAAGAGTTACAATGATCTCTCCTTTTCCTTTTCGAAGGGTTGTGCATATCTTAGTTAACTGATCTGGTCAATAACCTTGATATTGCATGTCATCATATCCACCAAAACCCAAGTAGTTTCCATGTCCTGAGTAAGGTGACATGAAGCCAATGTTATTGAGATCATCAGTAGGTTCAATTTCTCCTGTAAAATTCGAGCATGATGAACCTGGCGAGAATTCTCTATGTCTGTCTGGCTGCCAAGTATTCATGGAGATCGGATACTCGTACTGTGGAAGGTATTGAGCTGCAGTTTCATGTACTTGTGAATAGTCCTGAAACAAAACCACGGAAAAGGTTCAAGAATCTTCATGATATAACAATGTAGTCTATTAATTGCCTTTTCCCTGAGCTATACCTTTGAGGAATCAAGAATTAGATCAGGTGAGATCCAATGGCTTGAAGGATAACTCTCCATTGAAGCAGCTGGCTCAAATTCTGACATTGGTGTGACTTGACAAGGAGAAGTGATAGGACTCGAATATCGACTCTCATTGTTATACAGGTAACTTGCTTGTGAAGACATGTCACATGAGATGTTCGAAGGCTCGTTCGAGATTAGAGCTGAGGTGAAATCCACATTTCTCGAGCTACTGCCGACCTGTTTGGCTTTAGGCTCTCCTTGTGAATCGCTTATCTTCAGACCTTGCTCGTTCTTTTTAACAACATGGCACAAAGCAAAAGCTCCCTGGAGAAAACAATGACCACATACTTCCTCAGTCTCCTTAGCAACTCAAATACATGCTCAATACTCATTGAACTTAATGTGCTTACCTTAAGATCAGGTGATCCTAGAGAAATATCATCGCAAAGGCGATACTCATGCATTACCCAGTCAGTCCTATCTCCTAAAGGAGCCCGTCCGCGATAGAAAACTAGGGTCTTTCTATACCCAGTCACGGCAGGGTTACAGACAACTTTACGGTCTTTTCCAGTAGCCTTCCAGTAGCCAGATTTAGTGGCTCTGTTTGTTCGTGAACCATTTGGATACTTACGGTCCCTGGGACAGAAAAAGAACCACTCCATATCCCGTTTCGGCAGGAATGACTTCTCTGCAAATGACATATTGAAAGTCAAATTTCCGAATTGCTAGAACAACGTGATCCATAGGAAAATTAGAGGGTGGAGCTGTTTCTAATAGTGCTTTCCTTAAAATAAACTGTTACCGAAGATGAAGGAATCCGGTTGAACCGGACTCTATAAGGAAAAAGTTCCAGGCCCCTGTTACGTGAGCTCCAGTGATAAAAGTAATCAATAAAAAAAACAAAACAAAGAAGATACTCTTATCAAGAATAAACAAAAACTTGCTTTTCCATTACTAAAAAAATCTGTGTTCAGACTTCAGACTGTAATGAAGCTACTTTCCCACCATAACAGCTGACATCTTTAGAGCAACAACATATGAATTGATTGAGCTTAGGTCAAAACTTGTCCACCAGAAACTAATTCATACTCCGTGGATATCTAAAATCCAGGTAGCATTTTACGTGTCATATTTACCTCTCTCAAACCAAAGGGGTATTAATTAACAATTCATGTTCTCATGCCGATCATATTGTGGACAGGAATGGAGAACTTCGACGAAACATTAACTGCTCCATAACAATTTAGATCTTAATTACATGGTGTAAATTTAACAGAATATGGGTTAGAGGAAGAGTTACCTGGCAATTCCCATGGATCAAATTTGTACAAATCGATCACGGGGATCACTTCAAGCTCAATTTCAAGCCCTTGAGCTTTCCTTTGCAGGTAATACCCTACCAATTCCTCATCCGTTGGATGAAAACGAAATCCCGGAGGCAATGAAGCCCCTCCCATTATCTCAATCTACCAAGTTCTCTACACCTAGAGTGAAAAGGAACAGAACAGAAACAGAAACAGAAACAGGGTAAACAGAGTAGAGTTACGAAGGTTTCTTGTTAAGTGCCCAGCCTGTTTCTATTAAAGATTTGAAAAATCCAAAAATAAAAGCTCTTATTAACACTAGATCTTTTACCAAAAATCAAGCGCAAATTCCACAGGTTGCGCCCATTGGAGAACAGAATCATTTTCCTTTGAAACTCAACTTTCTTATGATCAAATATTAAGCCTCCACCAACCCCCACAAAAATTAGTCACAAAATGAAGATTGGAATGAATCTAAAAACTTGGATTTTAACCACTACCCAGAATCCGAAATCTGTCTTAAAGGAAAACTTAGATAGTGAACTCAACAAAAAACTCAGTCTGGAAAAACTTGTTAGAACTTCCGAAACTGGCACCTATTGTAATGACCAGAAGGCAAAACTATTCAAGAATCTTTCAAAAACTGCAAATTTTGAACGGATTGGACTCGAAAAACTTTATGCGTGCGAGATCGAGAAAAGCAAGGCCTAGATCGTATATGTGTGTGACTAAAGAAGAGAGAAGGCAGAGCCTGGTAGAGTAGCAATAGAGTTGCAATGTGAGTGTTATATATAGAGACGGAGGACACAAGTCCAAAATTTTGCACACCGAAAGTGGAGGAATTGCTTGTCATGAGCGTACCCAAAATTCCACAGGATGGGCCCTACTTTAAGTTAAACCACTCCACACTTCACACCGAACTGTTTTTTTTTCCCGCCAAAATCAACCGTTGCTTACGAAGATCGCTAATTTTGATTGCTTTTTAACTTGTTTTTATTTACTTGTTTTAGATTGAATTTATTTTTAGAATGTTAGAAAATATTTGTTTTTTTAAATAAACTTCGCTCAATAAAACCTTTTAAGTAATTTAAATTTAAAATTAAATTATATAAAAATGATTTTAGCATGACCCATTAACTTACCAATTTAAAAATATCAAGTTAATAGTTTTAAAAAAAATTAAAAATAATATTAAGAAAAAAAATATAAAATTAATTGAAAAAACTTCTAGAGCTAACTTTTTTATTTCAAGGTTAAAATTAAATTATTTGAGGAATAAAATTAAAAAAATATAAAAAAAATTAACAAGAAAAAAGTTTTTGACTCAACTTTATAACTAGTTTGAATTTAAAATTAAGTTGCGTCAACATTCTCTCTTTTTTTTCATTTCAACTTTTTTTCTTTTTTATTTTCTGTTTTTTTTCAATATTGTTTTTGTTTTTTTTTTCTCAATTTGGGGTGTAAACCGGATTTAGACCAATCAAAAACAAAATGATTTTAAGCCAACAGGGCATAACTGCGTAAGCCTGGATACAATAGATTTACCGTTGAAACCCTAAACATTTTAATCCAGTTTCATCAAAACATTAATTTGTAATAAGAGGAGAGGATTTTAGATTAGACGAAAACTTGTACTTGGAGTTTTCAAATCATTACATGGATTTGAAAAGGAAAAGATAATTACTTTTAACACCGACATATAATATAAATTATATTGAAAATATAGAAAATAAATCATTTTTGCGAGCTCTCACCTTGAAAATGGATCCTTTAACAAATTTTGAAAGGAAAATCGAATGCTTGTTCTCTTTAGTGTATCAGGAAAATTAACGGCAGGTCTTCTATCGTTTTCTTCCCTATGTTAGTCAATGAATGACAGAAGGGGTGAACCGCAATCTTTATTCCAGTCAACACTCTAATGGTTATTTAACCCTGTTTTTCTCTATATTTTAAAAGTATGTTTAAAAAAAAATAATTTTTTTTATTTTGATTAACTTTAAATTAATATATTTTTTATATTTTTAAATTATTTTGATGTCCTGATATCAAAAATAATTTTTAAAAAACAAAAAAAAAACATACTCATATATTTTAACATAAAAAATTATTTGAAAAATAATCATAATTATACTTTTAAACAAACCCTAATAATTCGGTTAAAATATTATTGGTTTGGAATTTAAATTTTTTATTTATATTTATTTTTTAATATTTTTAAATTATTTTGATTAAGCATTATTAAAAATAAAATTTTTTAAAAAAATTATTATACGTGAACTTTTTTTACTAGATTGGTACTGATCTTTCGATAGAGTGTGCTAATCTACACCTCTTCTGTGCCCTAATTTTGGATGTTTGTAGAGCATGCGGTCATAACCCTAATTGAACTAGCTTGAAAGATGTCAGTGTAGAGTGGTCAAGCCTGGCATTGATTGGGGAATTTGGGTTTTCTTGGTGGTCTCCTCCCTCCACGTCAGCCTGAGGCAGACAAAACACTTTTCCATTCTCTCATGGGAGTGATTGTGTCATCAAACTGGGTCCCTTGCTAAAAAAGAGAGCCCTAAAAGTGCTAACTTTGTTATTTTTAATCAAACTTTTTAAAATGAACCAAACAGGCCTTAGTGGAGCTTAGAACTGTCTGAATTCACACCCGGACTAGATGGAAAGTACACTTGTAACGCACTTCTTAATTCCGTTCCCTTGTGAACTCAATTCCTTAACTAGTTAATAAGATAATAATAATAATAATGTATATAAAAACTATTAAAGGTGATTGCAGATAAAATTTAATATTATAATAGTGATTATTTATTAAATTTATTTATATAAAAATATATAAAAATATATAAAAATAATATTTTTTATTTATCAAAATTTATTTTTAATATCAACCCATCAAAATAATTTAAAAATATAAAAAATCAATACTTTTTTTAAAATATAAAATGTAAAAAGAATCAATTGCCCATTAATTATCAATCAGATTCCAACTCCACTAACGGTAACCCTTATTCGTTAAAGAGGATTTTCAACTCCAATCCTCTAATACAGAATGAACCTGCAATCCATAATTATTAATGAATAAAAAAATCTTAAAGTTGGTTGCCGTCACATGTCTTTTTTCATTCAAAGAAGTGTAAACGTGAGTGCGCACTCTCTGTATGTAATAGCATGTCTGTAAAATTATTTTAAAATGATTTTTTGTTTTTAAATTAATTTAATATGTTAATATAAAAAATAAATTATAAAATATTATTTAAATATATTTCTAATTAAAAAATACTTTAAAAAACAACTATTATAGCTACGATGTCATATCACTCAAATAAAATGCTACCATAACTTCTTCTTTTTTATCTCATGCTTAAATGGGCACTTGCACATAACATAGGGTGCACATATTTAGCAAAGAAATTAACTAGCGAGGTTAACTTGGTTTAGAGGTTAAAGGAAGCTAGGGGGCGTCTTGCTTTAGAGCTGAAACAGCTTTTGGCTATGCTTATATATTTATGTGTCTATCAATTTGGTGATAATTTGATTGTGACTTGAAATAATTTTCACAAAAAAAGAAAATAAATAAATAATTGTAGCTAACCGCTCTCTACATCAGGAAAATGGAAGGAGATATTAAAAATAAAAATTACCTTTCATCCTTATGGATTGTTCTTTCACATTTAATAATATATAGGATAGGGTTCCGCCTAGCTTATTAGCAGACTTTAGAAAAGAAATTACATGTCTTTCCTTTCACCATGGGAAAGGGGCAAGCAGAGAGAGCGGATATACTGCCACGTGGATTTAGTGGTAAAATTTAGTGACGAAATGAGGATTAACGGAAACTTTATTAAAATACGACTGCATGCCCGCAAATTAAAGTATGCCATCCTGCCTTGCGGGCACCAATTCAAATCATTGTGCGGCATAACTTGGTACAATTTGATTTTAAAATTTTCAATTTTTTCTACCTTTTCAATCTCCCTTTTAAAAAAAAAAAAAAAACTCAAAAGGGATATCTTGATTGAAGAATATATTAAAAAAAAAATAAGCATTTAAATTGATTCCTTAACAAAAATTTGTCATATAAACATTCATATTAGTAGAGTTTAATTAAAAAAAGATAGTAATTCAAAATAAAAAATAAAGAGATATGATTAATACAAAAAAGAACGTACACTAGATCATCAGTCTATGTTATGTTGAGAATATGATTAAATATTTTTTTATAAGTTAAAAAAATATTTAAACATTACTAATGTGTTTTTTAATAAAAAAAATAATCATGAACTCCAAATCTAATGTATATTGAATGACATCTTTTTTAAATATTAAGCTGGTCACATATTACCCAAATATTTTTTTTATATTGAGACAGCAACATATTGGATCGATCTAGTAAATTAACTTGTCAATTTTACAACCCAACTCATGTGATAACCTTATAGTAGCCATATCAAAATAAATTATAAAACTCAAACTTGAATCAACCTAATATTGAAGGATAAAACTAAAAAATATATTGAATTAAAAAAAAAAAGATCTAAGTCAACACGGGTTAACCTTTCACACTCACAACCCGAGTTCTGAGATCAAGATAATTGCATCGAAAGCAAAAAAAAAATGCAAAGCCTAATTCTCAACTAACTCAATGTTGAAGAATAAAATTAAAAGAAAATCAATTAAAAAAGGACAAAAATCAAAAGAATGGGGACTATATTGGAAAAAAAAACAATAAACCATAAAATAGGATAGAATGATAAAGTTAAAAACTAATAAAACTTTTATAAAAAGAAAAAAAAGACTAAGAGTGTGTTTGTTTTTTCTTTAATTATTGTGGCTGTGGTTGAAAAAAAAATGATTTTAAAAAAAGCATTTTTTCTGCGGTTTGTGCATATATAATGTGTGTTTGGTTAAAATTATGGTTTGACTTTATTGTGGTAAAAATCATGACATGATATGTTTAGTTAAAAATATGGTTGCGGTTGATGTTGTTCATAAAATGACTAAAAAGAACATAAATTAAATAAGTCTTTGTGCTAAGAGAAAACAAAACATGTAGTCCAAATAAAAACTAGCAAAAAAATAAAATTATTCTTTGTTATTGCAAAATAAATATTATTGTCCCATCAAACTATTTACAACGTCATCATGAATATAATTCATACGAATAAAATTATTCTTTGTTATTACAAAATAAATATTATTGTCCCATCAAACTATTTACAACGTCATCATGAATATAATTCATACGTGATGCTCTCTGGTGGCCACGTGATTGTGATTGTGGAATGACATTGGCAAAAGTATCCGAAGGAACAAAATTAGGATGGCTATCAAACTCTTTAAATGCAACATCTTGACCCGACTTCCTCTGAATGTAGTTATACATTGCCATTAATGCCACAACAATTTTAAATTGTGTTTTGTAAGGAAACTCAGGCATATTTTGCAAGATTCGACACCTTTTCTTCTAAATTTTTAATGTACGTTCAATTACACATCCTAACGATGAATGGACATAGTTGAATAGTTCCTCTCAACTTCATGGTTGTCCTCGTCAATAAAATTATGAAAGATGATATCTCTCCTCTCTATATGTACCCAAATAACTGTACTCATTCAAATATGTTGAATTAACAAGATAATACTTCCCTGCATCAAAATAATGATTGTTTCATTCTTATTTCCTATTTCACATAAAGAAAAAAAAACATAAGAATAGCTTAATAACACCCCTATTTTTTTCTGGTGAATATCTTCTAGTGGCTTCAAAAATCATATATTTGGATTTCCAATCTTGAAATATTATTATATCGTGTGCACTACCTTCCTACCCAGCCCAAACAAATATAAATTGTATGTCAAAGCTACATACTGCCATTATATTTTGTATTGGAACACCTTTTCTACCAATATATGAGATTTGATTTTCTTGTGATACACATATACGTACATGTGTTCCATCAATCGCTCTAATATAATTCTATAAAAACAAAAAAAATTATTGCCAAATCAATTTAATAGTGCTTAAATATTTGTTTGTAACCTTTGGAAATATTTAACAACTTATATAAAGTATTTTTTTATTTTGAAATAGGGCATATATCTTGGATTCATTGTAATTTTCATGGGTGTTGTTATGAATTTTGGATCTACTAGTTTGATAAAATCAATAGCTAGTAAGCACATGGACCGAAGAACTTTGTTGAAATATCTGAAAACGATTTTACCTGAATATTGAAATCTCTCATGAACTTCCTTGTTCAAAGCTCCTAGAGTTAAAGTGTAGAGAAACATGCCTACCTTCTCAATAACACTCATCTTTCTAAACTGTTTCAACTCGTTCACCGTTTCCAAATCAACATACAAACTCTTCAATGTGTCTGTATCCATTTGAAACATGTTAACATAACTTACCAAATGCCTATTTAAAATTTCAATCAACTATCTCATTCATATATTGTATGAAACCATACATGGTTCTTTATAAATATATGTATTATAATACAAAGTCAGTGCTCCAGCAATGCATATTATTAATTTATTGCGATCGCACTCTTTATGCCAAAATAATTCACCTACATCATCATCATCGTGTTGATTTTGGTCTTCGTCATCGTTGTCATCCATATTGTTCCCATAACCAGCACCGACACTACCTTCAAAACCACTTCCAGAACTTGTACAAGCAAACCCATCAGACACATACTGAACAATATTATTCATAATATTATCATACTGGTCATCAAATATAGCATTAAATCAATTTGCATCCATATCTACTAACACAACATAATTTTAATTTTCAACCTGCAAAGTACCATTAAAAATACATGTTCATAGAATAATTTGTTTTGGATATTTTAAACTTTAATGGCGACCTGAACTTAACCCAGAACAATTACATTGAAGCAATCCCTAATTATCGCATATATTTTACTTATAATTAATGAATTCAATATTTTACAACACAAACATAATTTTAATTTTCAACCTATAAAGTACAGGTAAAATTACATGTTCACGGAAGAATTTGTTTCAAATATTTTAAACTTTAATGGTGACCTGAACTTAACCCAAAACAATTACGTCGAAGGGATCCCTAATTATCACATATATTTTACTTATAATTAATAAATTCAATATTTTACAACACAATAATAATTTCAATTTTCAACCTGCAAAGTACCAGTAAAAATACATATTCATGGAAGAATTTCTTTTGAATATTTTAAACTTTAATGGTGACCTGAACTTAACCCAAAATCACGTCAAAGCAATCCCTAATTGTCGCACATATTTTACTTATAATTAAAGAATTCAATATTTTACAACACGACCATAATTTTAATTTTCAACCTACAAAGTACCAGCAAAAACATAAAGAAACAATCTTTTTTACTAAACAGGAGCCAGAGGCAACAAAATTGCATTACTTTTTGCTTCATTATTTTTACATAATATAGCTCACACAACTTTGAAATTATTAACACATAGAACCTCAAATCAGCAACTAACATTCTCAAATCAAAGCAATTCACATGGCAGTGTCAAACCAGCAAACCAAGCACAAGACCAGCCACAGATTTGTTCAAAAAAAATAAAGGAACAATCTGTTTGACTAAACAGCAGCTATAGGAAAACAAAATTGCACTACTTTTTGCTTCATTATTTCTACAGAAAATAGTTCACGCAACTTTGAAATTATTAACACATAAAACCTCAAATCAACAACTAACGTTCTCAAATCAAAGCAATTCACTTGGCAGTGTCAAACTAACAAACCAAGCATAAGATCAGCCACAAATTTGTTTTAAAAAAATAAAGGAACAATCTGTTTAACTAAACAGCAGCTATAGGACAACAAAATTGCATTACTTTTTACTTCATTATTTCTATAGAAAATAGTTCACGCAACTTGAAAGTTATTAACACATAAAACCTCAAATCAACAACTAAACTTCTCAAATCAAAGCAATTCACATGGCAATGTCAAACCAGCAACTAAACCTTCTTAAAACAAAGCAATGCACGTAGGAATGCTTGAAATATTTATTGGCAATAAATAAACATGGCTAGCATGAGAATGCAACTTAAATAGAAACACAGACATCACAGAAATTCAAACCATTATAGCCATTAAGCTCAACAACAATCATTCAAACCATTAGCAGCCATTCAACTTAGCAACAAACATTCAAGCCATTAGCAGCCATTCAACTCAGCAACAACAATTCAAATTAGTAACAAACATTTAAGTCATTAGCAATAATTCAACTCAACAATAACCATTAAAACAATTAACAGTCATTCAACTCAGCATTAACCATTAAAATTGAGAAATTACAATATCTAATTCTAGGCTTAAACAGCAAACACAACAAATGTTTTACAACCATTCAACCATTAACAACTACAAAAGTCAACATGAAACCTATAATTTCAGCTTGTAACATGTATAAATACAAATGTTTAACCCATCTCAAACATAACATATTATCTAACAGATACAAATACAATACAATTACTCAACATAACATACATTATAAATTTAAAACCTGGAAAAAACAACAATGGTTAAACCCTTTCCATCAACCATTTAGCAATAACACAACAACAACAACACCTCATGAAGTGCACCTCACCATAAGGATTGGTACTGTAATCTTTTAACTGCAAAAACACATAACCACACATAACCATTCCATATGGTAATGGATTATTCAAATGAAAAACAAACAGGATCAATATGCTAGACATTCAAACAACACTTCAATTATGAAATGCATGAAATACTCACCAAAATATATAACATACAGTAAACTTTAATTACTGCTAAATAGAATATAAATAAGTGAGTATTTCCTTTAGCAAATGTACACTTATATCAAGGTTTGTTGTTTGCCCTTCGATCAAACATTAATTTCACCATTGAAATTTTTGGTCCATATCACCAATTACTGCCAACATTTCCCTCTTACTTTTAACCATAAAAAACTCAATTGCAAAACAATAAAGCTCACTACTGAAAACCACTTTCTCAATGGAGTGGAACTCCTTCATGACATCTGTTATGCTACATCTTATTTTATCCAAACCACTTGATGTGTATTCATTCTTAGTAAATACACTATTAACCAATCTATCTAAACATGAAAAAAATTGAGCTCCCCTTCCAGAACTTTTTTTTTTCATTTTTTTGTGTACATTGTTACACATCTTTTATCTTCCCACTACTACTACTAGGATTGCTTGTGCTGTTGGAAAAATTGACACTAGTAACCATATTATTGACATCATCTATGAAATTTGGTAAACTATCCTTTTCAGAATCATCACTACCTTCCTCTAGATAAGGATTCTTATATATTGCGTTAGTTTGC